TGTGACTGCAGGCATCCCCGTCCTGGAGCTAGTCATATTTCCAAGTGGGCATTAGTTTTGCGTAGTGATGACAAGACATGCCAGTAATGACAATAGTTCATGAGATACCCATTTATTTTGCATCTCTTGCTGGTAATAAGGAATGAGAAAGTCTTCTGAATGATGACGACGTAAGAGGCAGGCAAGGGGCAAAACAGATAAACGTTACACTAACACTGACACAAATCACTCGAACTACCATGAAGTAATACTTTTTTTAACCTCCAAAACTGAACATAACTCAACTTAAACTTAATAACTCAAAATAATAGTTAAATGATTATTCTTGTATTCTATACTTTCCAAAGCTTCTATTGTGATTCTATTCTTTCCAGATTTGCATTTTTCTATTTGATTTGAAATACTGTCCTGTCTTTGCATTTGTCTGTCCGCAGGTTAAGAGCAGAAAGGGGGACTGCTGAGACAGTTTTTCATGCTCCCTGTTTGGATGGCATTTCCATGTTTATGCGTAACCCGTCTCTCATTGTAGAAGAGTGACTCCTGTTTGCCTGTTCATTAGGCTCTGGTCTCTGCAGTGTAGGCTGCCAGCAGTGCTAGTCGTATTACCACAGACAGGGCCAGATATCTGGGAGGTCGCAATCAGTCTTTTCCAAAGTAGACAAAAGTATAATCTCTGCTTAATGAATATCTGATGATACAAGCTTTACTACTAACTAGCCATTTTCACACTAGGAACCTAGAAAGATTGTCTTTATTTCTACATATCCTATCTTGGTACATGTCTATGGAAGATGGTACGCAGTGTATTTCCTAGAGTAGCCAAAGATTCGTTATCCGGTGGAAGTCGAAGGAAGTATATTACTTCAAACATGAATCAAGAGTGTGAAGAGTAATTAAGGAGTAACAGAGTGACTGATAAAAATCTCTTTTCCCTTTCTTTCTTCATCTTTTTCTCAACCTTTTTTTTGCTCCTTTCTATCACATTTATTATTGTTTGCATTCCGATAACATGTAAAGGTCCAGTCTGAGGTTTTGTTGTGGTAGATGATGTATAAAATGGAAGGCAAAACAACATCTCATTAAAGAAAATAGGATTAACCCTAATGTGGCCAATATTTCATGGAACAAGCAATGAAGTGGTGCCTGTCCTAAAATTCTTGTAATTATAAAAGATGAGAAGCTCAGATAAAAGCACGAACAAACAAATAAACAATGAAACAATTGTTACTTTATGTTTCTTAACATTTAATTAATGTGAAAATGTTTATCTTCCCTGTTGATGATCAGATTCTTTTCTCTTTCTAAAGAACAGGGGTTCTTCTTCCCCTGCACTGTCATTAGAGAGCAATCAGACTCTTTTGGATCAAAAATATTGTTTGAAATTACTTTAATGAAGCTGTAACATTTTTAGATTCATTCTGTGGTTTTCTTTGACTCAGTATTGTCCCTAGAGTCTAGTCTGGAATCCAGCTTCCACAGAGGAGTTGCCTGCCATATATCCACAAAAAGTGATCATTCTTCTCTAATCTGCTTTTAGTCTTAAATCATCAAAGTCATGACAAGTTGAGCAAAGGCAAAGCATCGAGGAAGTGAGGCAGTCCACACCCTCAGAAGCTAAAAATGTCACTTTGAGGACAGCCCCAGCCTTTGGGCCAAAGTGTAGACTTCTTTGCCAACTAAGCCATTAGGGCAGCCAGACTGTACTTCTTTTGCAATAATTTTGAATTCTGACCAAGCTCTTAATTCTGAAAATCAAAACCTCCTCCTGTGATTTCAGTATGAACAGTAACTAGCAGATAGAGCATTAGTTGCCATAGAGAGACAATTACCAACTTCCTCCTCTCTTCTCACCCTGCATTAGTAGTACATTTTAATTTTATCCATTATTCGGAGTTTCTTATTTATGAGACTTCTCTGAAAATAATTTTAGAAAGAAGTAAAACACAAACTTCTTTGCAGTTGTATATAGCTTTTTAAAAAAAAATTTCATGTGTCTCTTTCAGCCTCTGTCAGTACTATAATTATCACAATAAGAAAAAAATCCATACTTTGTAAAACCTGTTGAAATTGTTTATATAGGGCACAATACTGCCTATATATCTGATTCACAGGATGAAGTACCCAAAAATAACCAGTTTGAAACCTTGTTCTTATGTGTTTCAACTTGTAAGAGCGCACTAAGCATATATGCTTTTTATATATCATTAACACCTCATTTCTAAGCTAAAAAAGTACTGAGACTTTCTGGCTCCCCACGTAGAATCACATGCTAACAGAATTATTTTCTTGTACTGCTTTATATGCTGAATATAATTCTGTAGTTCTGAGATAGTTAGAAGAGCATAAAGATTATATTACTTCAGTTATTTGCAGAAATTCATTTTGCAGATGCTTTTGTGATGGCCTATGGGTCAACTTGCAAATATTCCCCCTGAGATCAAGCACAAAGAACATCAACTCTTTGGCTGCTTTTTCAAATCCTTCAAGTATGGACTTGCTTAAAGCAGATACAGCCAGAGCTTCTTGGCCTTTTTGGGATGGTCGTAATTTATTACTCTATGTATAAAGAATATTTTTCTAACATAACCTTTCTCTGAAAACAGACAATTTATGGTGGGTTTTTTCTTTTTTTTTTTTTTCTTTCTATCTAAATTATATCCAGATTAAAAAACTGGCCTATAATCTTGATTCTAGTAAAGGTACTCTTTGCCTGCATTAAGATTGAAAGGTCAGGCCAAAATTGTGCTAGAAAGGGTTAAACACAAACTCCTTAGCCATAGTGAGTAAGTACCTTTGGGAAAGTAAAAGATGAAAAATCATCATATGGATTCAAATATGTCTTATTTCCTTTGTTGTGAGAAGAGCAGCTGAATAACAAACGAGAACTTTTGCATCAATAATAATTTAAATTTTTTGTCACCAACTTTCTAATTGCCAACACACTAGATACAATTTTTATAGTATTATTTTAAAAGATGGAACAATCATTACATGATATATTTGATTTTTCTCAAATTATATAGCCGCTTGTCTCAATAAATGATTCAGTGTTGACTTACTATTTTGTAACTTATTATAGTTTCACAATAAACATATCCTCTCTTATCCTCTCTTAAAAGATGGTATCTTTGACATGCAAATTCCAAGCCTTCTGGCAATGGACAGAGCCTCACTAACCATACACACCTCTACATTGGTCCTACATGCAGGTTGCTCAGCAAAACTACTGTTCTGTTTTGCAATAAAAAGCTGACTGCAGCTGCAGCCTCCTGTAAATGCCAAACACCTGTAGCGTGGTACTTAGAATAGTATTAAAATAGTTTTGCATCTCACGTTTGCCACAAACCTGTCTTCTTTTATGTGCATGCATGTTAGTATACAAATTGCCAAATTGGTGTCAGTTGTAAACTAATGACATTGGAGGCATCATAAATTACCATGGTGATCCTCAGGAGAAGACACTGCGTATATGAATGAGTGTTTCATTCTCGGGGTAATGTATGTCTTCATCTGGCCCAGTAGTCAGCATATTGCCCTGTGTTGATGGATATAGTCAGCTTGAAACTACACTACATTTCACTGCACAATAAACATGGCTGTCAACACCATATAAAGCAAAATCAATTTATCCTGTATGGTCAGTGCGTTTTAAATGAAATTAATGTACTGTGGACCTGGTGGCAAAAAGGTAGTGTATTAGTTATGCATCCTCTATTTTAGGACTTTTTTCATGTAAATGTATTTCCTATATAGAATTTTTAAAATGGTATACCTAACATATAGTGTTTTCACACTAAATTAGAAAACTTAGTTTTTGCACGATTTAAAACTTGTGAGTCAGTCACTGAATTCAGTAAATCTGCAGTGTTTTACTTAGTGTAAAGAACTTATCTTTTGGCAAATAAATCCGTGTCAGGAGCTGTAATAGTTTATAAAAAAGGAGGCCTATTGCTGTGCTAATTTGTTGTCACATACCTTGCTTTTTCAAGGTATTGACTTATATAAACAGTTTGATGAGGCCTAAGACTAAGTAGATCAGTCTCCCACTGTAAAGACTTTTTGCCTTTCTTCTATAGCTAAGGTATAACCCTAAAAACATGTTATCATCACAATTGCAAAAGTTTTTCTGGTAAAAGCATGACTTATCTAGGCTCGGTTAATTTCTTTCTCCTGTATTAACTAATTCTGCACCTCATACTCAGCTCTGTGAACTCAAAACCCCATGAAGCTTTGCTGTTTGTGGTCAAGAATCAGGGCTGGATGCATTAAAAGAACACTTAAGGTTAGCATATACAAGTTGAATTGATGGTGGGTAATGACAGGACACTGGGGCACATTAAAACACAGCAGGCATGAAGAAGCTGGAGTGCTTGTCTCCCATTCTGGAAGCTCCAGGATGCTATGCGTGTACCTGTTGAAGGCAAACAATTTTATTATATATGATCTAATGCTCGAGACACATCTAAAAATCAGCTAAAGCAGATGCAACTTTAAAATGTTCAGCTCCAAATATAATTGGATCCATACAACTAACAGCATGTACCTAGTGTACTATGTAATTTATTTTATGAAATGTTTGGCATGTGCTTCACTGCTCAAGCAGTAAAGTCGTTGTGAATTACTTGCGTGAACAGGTCTGCATCAGTTTGGATTCTCAAGTGTGACTTTTATGTGAGTTTTGTTGAACATTCAGAACATGTATGCTATGTTAAAGTCCTGAATGGAAACTTTTTCAAATCTCTTTGCCTTAACTGGAGAAATACCAGTGCAATTTTTTTCCTCGCTCAGATGTCGATGCCTTCAGCTGGGTGAGCCTAAGCAAGTACACTGAAATCACTGGATATCCTTTCTCTCTCTGTCTCTCTCTCTTAGATCTGGCAGCAAAAAGAGAGACAGAAAAAGAGAATGAGGCTAAAATAAACACAGCACTGAAAGCACTCGCGTAATCCACATAATAATGTTTTGCATCCATCTTGTTTCTTCCTGCCCTGACATTACAGGAAGTAAAGCAATGAATGGCTCTGCAGCTAAACTACAGCAGTATTATTGTTGGCCAACAGGAGGTGCCACTGTGGCTGAAGCTCGAGTCTACCGAGATTCGCGGGGCCGGGCCAGTAGCGAACCGCACATCAAACGACCAATGAATGCTTTCATGGTTTGGGCAAAGGATGAGCGTCGAAAAATCCTCCAAGCCTTCCCTGACATGCACAACTCCAACATTAGCAAAATCCTAGGTAAGTGCAAGACAATGAACAAATCATGACAGCGACCCAACCCAAACTTAGGGAAGCTTAGAAGGCTCTGCTATAGTAGTGGCAATTGGCAGAGGTTAGTTATTTTTGGAGCTGTGAAAAGATGAGGTTATTTATATTGGTGACACAGGCTAGCTACTTCCTTCTTGGACATGCAACTTCTCTTATTTTAGGACATATTTTTTTTGGGAGATGTTCACTGAAATTGGAATCACCAAAATGTACAAATGAAGACTCATGCATTGTTTTCATTTTCATTCCCTTCCTTTTCCATTTCTGCCCCTTCCCTAATGCTTTTTATTTTCAACAGCAGAGTCACAGCAGTCCTTAAAGACTTAGCAGCATTCAAAAGTAATGTTTTGTGAAATCTGTTGCAAGAATGAATCCTGATAAAAGGTCCAATAGCAAGATCCCATTAGAAATCACCCAAACTACAAGTCACCTGAATGCAAAATGGTACTTGCTGGAGTAATTACAGGGAAAATTTAATAAAGTACAAAATCAAAATCAAAAGTTTATGTCAGACAGTGCAGTGTCAAAGAAAGAAACTTGGCACAGTTCAAAACACATGTACATACATACCTTCTCGCATGCAAAGTGATGTTTGATTCAAAATGTTACAGTGTTCAAAAAGCTAAAGAAGCACTAGCATCATAGAATTTAAATATTGTTTAGTTAAAAGACACCTTAGTTAATATTTAATTTGTATAGATTGGGACGATCAGGGAATATACCATAGATTATATTTGCCACTGTGCAACTAAATTGGCTCATTTTTGAGAAGTTTTGATTTGCTTTCTAAGACCCCTCCAGAGAATTAGAAACATACGTGAGAATGAGTGGTGAAATGTTAAACCTATATTTGCTTTCTGAGTCTTTGAAGTGAAAGACAGATTCCAAATGTAACTCGTAATAAATAGAAGTAAAAATCGAGTTTCCTCTGTAATAATTTTATTGTAAACTTTGAGTTCAAATACATTCTTACCAAAGTTTGTTGCATATTAGTTCAATCAGAGGCAAGAATACACAGAAATAAATGTTACTTTGTCCTGCAACTTCCAAAATCTTACTTAGTCATTCTCATATTTTTGTCTACCATATAAGTAAGTTATATGAATAGCCTTTCAGTTTTGTATAAAACCTGCACTGTTTCAGTGTTGGCAGCTGTAGGCAATCTATATTATTTGTGTGCATTCTGTGAAAAAACTATTAGAAGCATAGTAACTGTATTCATTAAAATGTAAACTTCCAGCATAAATATTTCAGAAGTGCCAGCAATTGAGTGTTTGTTAACCATGGAATTAACCTGTCAGTATCTGCTCTGCCACAAATAAGTCTATGCCCATATAGTATCTGTGCAACTTTTTCAGGACAATGAGAAAAGAAACTGAAATATTAGAACTGACACAGAGTATCACTGGCTACAGATAATATTTATAAAACTTTCCGTTTGTTGATATATGAAAAATCTTGGTAAAAGAATAGCTTCCACCCACGTTTACCACAGCTGTAATAGTTTTGTTCATTTAAAAGATACCAAAAAGCTATTTTCTGCATTTCTTATCCTCCAGGAAAAAAAAAAAAAATTCCCTTCTCTATTCAAGTGTTTAGATAGCTCCTTATAAACAATATAAGAGATCTGAATACTTTTTCCTCTTCCTGTGTACACTGTGTTAATTTTTAAACTTTTTTATTAGTGCAGCTTTCAATGAGAGTTTATAGTACCTGAAATGGTGTATATAATTACAATGTGCTTTCTGTTTTTCTGGGGTTTTTTTTGGCTTTTTTTTAAATATAAGTTTGTTAAATGTAACTTCCTCAATGCAATTTTGTGCATTGATTACATCTGGCCGGAAGATAATATGCATAATAGGATTTAAATATTTTAAGGTGCCGATATTTTGCCAAGCTTACATCAGAAAATTAGTAAATTTAAGAAACCCAGACAGCAAGTGGTTTTTCATAATTTTGTTGAATCTGTAGCATTTTGGTGATTTTTTTCCTGCTACATAGCAAAGTATTAATATCTATTAGTAAGAGTATATAAACCAAATCCTCATAAAACTATCAAAGCAGCGTGTATCCCTAGGCAATGTGTTAAGCTTTTAACAGTAGAAGTATGGCTGTAGACCTTACTTAACTGTAATACTGTGCGTGGTATTACAAAGGTATAGAATTATTCACAGATTAATGCTCATATTGTAAAAAAATAAATAGTCTGTTTTGCAGCATGTGGCTGGGATTTTGAGAAGTAACTATTGGTTTTAAATGCACCTATTTAATAGAGATTTACATATGTCTGGTCGGCAGCAATAGCTGAAAATTAAGGTTCTTTTAAGATGTCTCAGGTTGTGCATCCCAATACATGTGCTGGCTGATGTAAATTCAAATCAGTTTATTTAATTAACTTATTTAAAATTTGTTTATTATGGCAAGAAGGCACGTTAAAATATGTATGTGTAAAGCTAAACCTCTTGAGCACTCAATGATGTTTTGCGTTAATAGGATCTCGCTGGAAGTCCATGTCGAATCAAGAGAAACAACCTTATTACGAAGAGCAGGCACGGCTAAGTAAAATCCACCTAGAAAAGTATCCTAATTACAAATACAAACCTCGACCAAAACGTACCTGCATTGTTGATGGAAAGAAATTGCGTATTGGTGAATACAAGCAACTGATGAGGTCTCGAAGACAGGAGATGAGGCAGTTTTTTACCGTAGGGTGAGTACTATTGTTGTAATTGTTTTCAAAGACAGAGCATGCTATTTGAAGCCAAATAGACTTATCTGTTTAAGTCACTGACTAATGTCATTTAGAAAGTAGGGATGTGAACCTGTAAAACCTTATTAAAAACATAAGATATATCATGGAATATGGAGCTATCAGCTTGCCACTGAGTGCTGATTGTGAGACTGATTGTGGAATTCTTTAAAGTCAAAAGTTGTTTCCCATTAGCCTGAAAGGCTTGAATCATGTCTTTTGTGAGTTATTAGTAAGCTAATCCATTCTGGGGTACTAAAGACCTCAAGATCATTTCCTAAATTAAGACAAGAACAAAACGAAAAACACAAAAGATTATTTCAGTGTAGAATAAGGAGTCAGGAGGGGCTGAAAAGAGAAATGGGACAAGAGTACTAGCAGTCACATTAGGAACACACATGAATGAATGATATCATAGCACGGGGCTATTAGGAATTTTGTTATATAGAGAACTGTGAAAAAAACCCTTTTTTAAAAATAAATGTTTTAGGAAGAGTCTTTCAAGCAGTGCATAGATAGACTAGGTAGACTTATAACTTGGAATATATGGCTCGAAAAAGATCTTGGCATGGTTTTAAAAACATTGTGTGTTTTTTAACAGTATTTCCTCTAGTCTTCAGCAGAGAAAGCAGCACTATGAAAGATCTACAGGCTAAAGATAACAAAAGTCTAGTGAAACAACTGCACCATAACTGATTTCTCTCTCCTGTTTTTTTATGAATTAATCTGTGATGCTCACTGCTCTAACACAATGTTTCTGGTGGTTTACAAAGAGTCTAAAGCTATCTCCAGTGCCAGCCTTTCCAAATTCACAATGTTCTGCTTATTTCTCTAATCACAATAGTCTCCTTTTGTTGGGCTCTTCACTACCAGATAATTGACCTTGACGTCGATTATGTGCCCTCATTTTTGGCTTAGGATGCAGAACTCCTGTTGCAGTCAATTATTTTGTGGTACAGCCTGCAACAATGTGAGCTCTTTCTTCAATCAGTAAATAGAAATGTTTCTGATATTTTGAAATAACCTTCCAGTCTATAGTTTTGACATTGTTTTTTATTCTTCACTCTAAGGGAAGTTGTTTACTAACAGGCTTCCAGCAAAATTTTACATAGAGCTCTAAAAAGCAATCTGAATTTATACAGCACATCACAAATCATATTCAGAAATGAATGAAAATGAAACTCCAGCTTATGTCTTCCAAAGCAGATTGACAGACCATATCACATGTAGACAAGAAATGTAGAAGAAATGCCAAAACAGCAATCTGAACAATTTGAGAATTGTTTGCTAATTCAAAACAGTATTAAGCAGTAATATTTTACACGTTGGAAGTGATGGCTAAATATGGAGGTGAATATGGGGGACAGATTTATGAAACTTCTAAAAGTGCCTACTTAAAGAGTGATATTGTGATTTAAAAAACAACATAATGAAAACTATTCAAAATTAAACTGCTGGTGCAACGTAAATGTAACATCTTTCTCATATATCAAACAGTAGGATCACAAAGACCATGAGAATGTCATCGTTTTCTTGAAAGGATTGGTTCTAATTCATATTTATGCTAAGTCCACTTCACACTGCTCTGTCCATGTTGAAGAAGGTTTAAAGTAAGTGTAAATTACCTTTGTGGACTTGTATAATGATGCAGTGGACTTTACTGGAGACAATGACTTTTAGTTATGCAAGTGATGAAAAAGGGGATATGAAGACTAATGGATGTGTTCAATAAAGGTGAAATGAGATCCATGTTGCAGTTCAATGTGAGCATAAATTTTGATACTGAGGAAACACAGGCTGTGATTTAAAAAAAAATCTTTCATGCTTTTCTGTGGCTTCCCACTGTTACCCCAAATTCCTTTTTTCCCTAAAGAAAAAAATTACAACAAAATCCTTGGAAGAGACCAAGTAAAAAAAGGTGAAAAAAACAGACTAGGACAGCTTTTTTGAACTGAAACATAAAACATAACATTTATTTCAGCAATTCAGTAATAAAAAGCAACATTTCATCCAAATCAGATTATAATTAAGTGAAACAGAGTAATTGAGCCCATCAACTTCTTACTCTTCCTTGTGTTTAACGTAAATATCACATAAAGCATCAGCTGGAACAGTTTTCCTAACTGACCTTGTATACCCATCATTTTTCTACTGTTTTGATGGAACAAACAGCATAAGCCATCCTTCAGAACTGTAGACATGGGAGTTGAGATTCAGTTTTCTTTTCAGAATGAAATAGGAGACAAATGTGTTTTTTAGGAATGAATATATTCTATGTTTACAGTAAATATTTCAGTATAAGATAAAGAACAAAAGTACAAAATAGAATCCAATAAAATGTGTCAAGTGCTTCATACTGCTTGAAGTCTTGTTGTTTTTTCTTTTTTTTTTTTTTTGAAGAACATACCAATAAAGTTGGGAATGGGTATGACAAAATGGCAAAAAAGTATTGTCACAGAATAACAAGACAAATAGGAGATATGTGAAGAGAAAGATAGTCCTCCAAAACAGGTGGCTGGTGGAAAGTATAAATAGCAAGAAAAATTATATTCTTTCATATTTGTGTTTGGTCTTCTCTTAAACCAAATGTACATTTATGGCTTAAGCAATCCAGTAAGGGCTAGTTCCTATCAGATCCCCTTGGGTGAGCCATTGGCAAGCATACAATAATCCTGCCATGTGTATAACTAAAACACTCCCCGCCACAAACAGAGAGTTTTACACTGCTTGAACTTTTCCGATGCACAAAAGCTCTTACTGCTTACTTCAGCGAGCTACATTTTTTCATAAACATCAGTAAGATGCATAAAAGTTGTTTAGAGAATCTCAATATACAAACTAGCCAGGATTTAAAATAAAATAGATAAATAAGCTAATGAATGGCCAGGTTCTGTTCTGATTTTTGAAGAAAAGCTTCCCAAGAATTGAATGAGAGTGAAGATTCCTTGGAATAAATTGGGCAGGAAATTCGTGTTTTGAGATAAATGTTATATATGTGACAGACCAGCACAAAAATTGGCAAGTATTTTAAAGAACAGAGTGCAACTTGAAATGTGCGTAGGCCTTCTATTGCATCCCTATGTGAATGAATTTTGTTCCAAATGTGGCAGATAATATACAGAAATAATTCATGTTTAATGCGGAGTATATTAAAAATTTGCTGCTTTTAATCTAGTGGAAGCTGAATCTGAAGCCAGCTAGGTCTTTGAAATAATTGAGTAATTTTAAATAATAAAATTATTAATGGGAAGTTGTGAATGATAACTTCAGCGTAAGTTAATCTCTGAACAGACTTCAAGTGATTTACAATTTATATTCAATAGTACTTTTTGGTAATGCATAAATAAATGTGAACTAACAAATGGATCCTATATAAGCCATAAATTCAGACATTTTAAGTTAAGAGTCTGTCTTTTGTTGCCTTGTCTTACAAAAATAATTCAATTCTCAGTCATTTTTACAGTCTAAACCACTCTAAATACAATTATATGATATATACGTTTCTCTGCAAAATGATGTAAGCACTAACATTTTTTGTGTGTTTTAGCAGTGTAAGATGTTTAGAATAAAGCCTTTATAGTGTTTATAACTACTGTACACACATAGTCTGAATGTTGCTAGACTACGGTTTTGAATAAGGCTGTAATATTATACTCCTGTAGCTTGAACTTAAAGTAAGTACACAATGGGTGCTTTTGTGAGATTTACTGTTATTTCATTCCTTATGGGAATGTAAGTTTCAGGGGTGTGTAGTGTATAAGCACTTTCCTTAATGCAATCGAATTTGCCTCAGTCATTTGAAGAGCTGTCAGAAAATAGCTGCGATCAGAAAACAATGGTAATTTGCCAATTTAAATGTTTAGCTAGTTTCGCAAAAGTCAAAAGTGGAATATTCTCCAGGAATATCCCAAGAATATTAACGCCACAAACTTGTGAGCTGGTCAATTGGTCTAAGAATGTTCATGTTGCCTCCTTTTTTATGTTTACCTAACTATTTTGGGCCAAAGCTTTGGCCTCAGACTGGAAAGACATGTTAGCAATACTGGCAGAGCAGAGAGGCACGTGACCTGTAGTAACTGGCCGCATAAGGATTTCTTTGGCAAAGAGGAGTCAGTGGAGATGGGAGTGGTTTGAAGCCAGGGTACGTAGCCATGCATCACCGTTCCTCACAGATCTGAAGAAATAGGAAGATTAATGTTGGGTTCTAGAAATCTTAACCAGGCAGAAAACATCCTTGCTTTAACCACGTGCAACTGAGCTCAGTTGTTACCTGTAGCTTGTAGTAAAGTACGTTTTCATCTCCTCACTCCAAGGTCCTATGATAGGCAAACCTTTAGTGAGATACTAAGATTTAACATGTGGAATTTAATGTTACAAAAAATGCCATTAATATGAACGCCTTTAAGAACTACATATAAAAGAAAACATAATGCCAGAGTCATAGGTTAGAAACTCCAACTCTTCCTTTCAGGAAAGGGTGGTTAGAATTTAAACAAATGCTCTGATTTCTTCCCCCCTCCTCATCCTATAAAATTTAATTACTTAGAAAATGATAACACTCATCTCCAGTAACATATGCCATCCATATAGTTGGTGAAGTCTTAAGGCTTTCTGGCATGTAATGCAGCAACTTGAGCAGAATTTACAGTGACAACCTGATCAGCTCTAAATAATAACAGGGCTCACGTGAGCGGTAGGTGTCCAGTTACTGGGGGTGTGTGGGCACCCATGTTTAAGTGCTAGCAAATTTTTGCTAGCAAATGGGTAGCAATTTGAGACCCTTTCTGTTTAGGTGGTACAGTTACCACATATTTACAGTTCCACGGTGAGATATAGGTAATTTAAAGCTCCCAGTTATTACCTACCCAGCAGCAGGCATGCGTACCATGTCTGATTTTTGTTTAAGATGTAAAAAAGAACTGCACTTATGAATGAAAAATTATGTAAGCCTTTAACTTTCCTGTTACATGGATCAAGTTCGTTACCAGTTAGATTCGTTTTATAGTTTGACTTGCATTTGGTGCATTCTGATGTAAAAGGTATCTCCTACTTTATTATGTTTAAATGACCTGCTCCCTTTATGCTTTGAAATGGGTAGTACTTGGATAGCATACCCTTTCCCACTGAAATGTGGATATGCAAAAGAGCTTACCTGACTTCATAAACGTTTGAAAGAATATCTGAATGTCTCAACGTAGTCTGGTAGTCTGTCCTTTAGACCTTAACAAACATCATTTTATCAAGACATCTCACAGTCCTGTCCTAAACATCCCTGTTCCTTCTTACTTCTTATAAAAAAGCAGTTTGCTTCTAAAATAATGCAAACATTTTTGGGTGAGGGGTAGGGATGGATATTAGGGTTCTGATCCTTAGTGTCATCTATAACACGAGCAGCTTGCACTCAATCATCCTTTGAGTATACTCTACAACTCTAAGAGTTGTAAAAGCAACTTTTCTCAAAACATCTTTTGGCACTAATATTGTGCTATTCTTTGATGAATGATTGGGGACGCTTTGTTTTGTGAATTTACTTATTCTAAGAAATACCAGAAAAAGATTAGTACCAGCAGTTGTTAGATGGGCAGATTAGAGAGAATTCAGTGTGTATAGCCTGATAACTATGTAGAATTTTGCTGTGACCACGTGTGGGTTTCTTTTTCCTTTGCTTTGTGGAAACAGTCATTAATGTGAACGTTTTCTGTGTCTAAAATTTGTGGAGGGGCTACATGTGGGTTTTTAACAGTAATAGTTTACGCTGCTGACAATATACAATCCTAAACCAGAAATGTTTCCATGTGAGGTAGGTGTTCAATTTTATGGATAAAGTATCGAAAGATGTTTGCAGAAAATCACTTGCAAGCAAATACATTGGCTGAAAATTGTTTTCACAGAACATTTATCAGACCATTTAAAAAGTGAAAATTTAGTGAAAAATCCCTAGCTGTTTGTAAATCATCTGCAAATCATCATTTCCAAACCGAAGTATAATGACTGTGTCAAATGAATTACTATGATGTTTTTGCTCACTGCTAGCCAGGTGTACCACAGTTATACAACAGATGTTTGAATTTCTCAAGCTGTGCAGAGGCTTTAAGAGTTGAGCTAGCAATACCAGCAATGACAGTACTACACGCTATTCTAGTATTATCTTACACAGACTGTTCAGGATTTGACTGTCTGCATTGGTTCCCAAACTTGAAGGACTTTGGTCACTCACTCTGTAGTGTAATATTTATCAGAATTAGAGTTTGATCAATAAAGACTCAACATTTAGGATCTTGTAAATAAGCGTTACATTATTTTGTATATTGATTGAGTCAATGATTAAGGATTTGGGAGAGACTGGTTTTTGGCATGTCCTTTTGAATTACAGCATAAAATGACACTGTGATCAAGAAGTTATAGATTCATTAGACTTTTCAAACACATCTGATGCTGTTTCTCCTGCTAAAATTACATAATAGTTCTCTAATACTTGGTCGATATTGCTCTAAAGAAGGTTGTGTATGCACTGAAATATATGATTCTTTCAATAGATTATGCAAGTACACATGTATGTTCAATGACTAGTCGGTACTAAAACAGCATCTTCCACGGGCACTTAGGTATTTCTGGTACTGGAGTATATTCATTCAGTGTTGCATCTAAAGTACGATGGGGATTCTCTTCCTTCAGACAAGTTACATCCCTTCTTTTTCTCTTAGCTTTACTAAAAGGAATGATCCAGAAATAATGTGAGAATATTTGTATGATTATTTTAATACAGAAAGTATATTATTAAGTAATTAACCCAAATGTAAGAAGTAGACATAATTAATTTGTAGCAAATAGGGCTTAACCATGGAATGGGTTCAGCTACCTGACCTTTACTTAGCAAAGCATTTAAATACACATACATTACTGTAAGAAGAGACATTGCATCACTTCGTACAACTATGTACATGCTTACAGCAAAGCTTGTGTTGAATTGCTTGACTGGCAGTGATATAAGCCTATTTTAGCTGAAGTGTGGTATCGCTCCAGCATGCCTAAAATCACACACACATGAGAAAACAACATTACATAGTGCAAAATTAGATATCAGAAGGTAAGATGTGTCAAAAGTAGAGGTAGTGCACCCTTGAGTCTTCCCAAGTATTTGCAGTGTCAAAATAAATCAGGTCTGACGCTGGGTCCTCAGGAGGAAGTCTTAATATCTGTAGACTATCCGTTACCATAGAAAAAAGAAAATTTATTCTTTTTTTAAAAGTACTTCACTTCAAAAACTCAGTCTTACACCTTAAATCCTGAAGAACAAATGGCATTCTGCACATGGATTTAAATGATAATCAAAAGCCAGCAATAAAATATCAAAAGTATTTCTAAGTGATGTAGGAGTCTACCGAGCACTTAAATAGTAAATTACATAAATACAGTTAGACAATGTTACTTAGTCACCTGTTTGCCATTTTAGGTATTTATGGATAATCTCGACATCCCCTCATTAACAGAAGCTCTTGTCAGATGTTTGGAGTATTTAGATTTTGGATACATGATGACTACAGTAGCAGTCAGGCATCACGCAGGCGCCTGAAGCCTTTTGATAATCTCTATCCAAGTGCTACTTTGCAGTATGGTTTAAATAAACATGTAAAATACATAAAAGAATCAACGTCTAGTAGTTACTAAACAGTTTACTCGCCGGTTGTCCTTGGGGAAAGCTAAGATGAACCACTACGGTATGGAACCGGACTGTGAACCCCAGAGGAATGCATGCAGCCTTTCTAGGAAACCATCTGCTTTTCTTTCATTTGGACTTGCAGAAGGTCTTCCCTTCTCTGAACACAGGAAATCACATTCCTGTCTTGTTTTTCCTTCCAGACAACAGCCTCAAATTCCAATCACCACAGGAACGGGGGTTGTCTATCCTGGTGCTATTACCATGGCAACTACCACACCATCACCTCAGATGACATCCGATTGCTCGAGCACCTCTGCCAGCCCTGAGCCCAGCATCCCCGTCATTCAGAGCACTTACGGTATGAAGACGGACAGCGGAAGCCTTGCTGGAAATGAAATGATAAATGGAGAGGATGAAATAGAAATGTACGAGGACTATGAGGATGATCCCAAATCAGACTATAGTAGTGAAAACGAAGCCCATGAGGCAGTCAGTGCCAACTGAGGAGCGTTCACAGAATTAAAGTACTCAGACTCATTTGGGTTTTTTCGGGTTTTTTTTGAACAAAAGTTCTTAAAGAGCCTGCATGCATGTGTGGCTCCTACAGTTACATCAGCAGAATGGTCTTAAATGTTTCTTAACGTATGAGACAGATTGTTTCCCTAATTTTTCATGAACTTGGGTTTTTTGTTTTTGTTTTGTTTTGTTTTTTTAATTTAGATGAAGACATATATTAAATATCAGACATCAGGACTTGAAAACTTATATGAATCAATAGCTGTCTTACAAGTCTTACCTTTTGTCTTTTTCCTTTTGGATGCTGATAAAGGTTTAAGTTACTGTTTTAGATGGGGGTTATACATTCTCACTCAGGTATGCTGTGCCAGCCTACAGGTTGTGAATGTGTTTTTATTCTGGATTATTTTAGAAAACAAAAACTGCAGATTTCATATCGTGAAACAGAACAAGTCCGCAAGTGTGCACATCTGTGCATCATAGCTTGTCTTTAAAAAATAGTCTCTGAATTCCATTTTTTTCCATATGTATAGCTGAACTTCTGATGTGCCAAACTTTTCATAACTTTTGAATCTTAACATTTAAAAAAAAAAAAGTCTTAAAGGAGACACTGTAAAGTCTTAGACAATCCTTTGGCATCTTAAAAAAATTATATATAAAACCTAATTTTTTCCAGAATATAGTAAAGTACTCAGGAATCTGGAGACAGGATATTCTTAAGTAGTGAACATGGTTGCCATAGTGCATGTGCCCAACTGCTTTTGCCTCTTGATGTGCCACTAGTGTGAAATTTTAAGTAAGCACAAAAGAGCGGTCACCAGCTATGGACAAGCCTGTCTTAGCAGTGTGAGGCCACCTCCGATTACATTCTCTACCCCTTTGCTTTTAACCCTTGCATTCAGTCTTAACACATTTTCTCTTAAATAATTTATTCATTCCAGAATGTCAAGGGTCCAAATACTTAATATTTATTTTTAAAAGTACTGTTGGTGGCATTACACTTACAATTCCTTGTTGATATTTTAAAGAGCCCCTTCTTTCTCCTCCCCTAAATTACACAGGTATATGAAAATAAAAGTGCACCTGCTACTAACATGAACATGACATTTATGAATGAGAAATTCAGTGTTCCTGTAACACTGTATGTTCAAGGAGCACTTGGAAACACTCTGCTATATGTAATACAAAATAAAGTGAGTACTTTTATACATACATACAGTACAAATATTCCTAAGAAATTGTGTTTATGGTTGTAAACCTCTATACTTAAGACAGAGCAAAGGCAGACGTAAAACCCAAACTGCATGTAGAGTCCACCATGATGAGTTTTCAGGGCCTGTAGAATCCTGCAGTGAATCATGGCTCCGTACATCATGTTCCTGTTGTCACCTGAAGGAACTGTTTGCTACCTTAAGTATTTATGCAGTGATTTATATGTGACGGTCCTAGTGGAGGAGGGGTGGCCACACAAACATCTGGCTTGCGAAGCTGGGAAAATGGTGCATCAAAAATATTTATTGAATATTAGTCGTGGGAACGCGAGCCAGATCTTGATGAATGCTCATCAAGTGCTTCGGGATCTTTGGATGTAAGGTGCTATAGAAGCTAAAATTTTTATTTGCATTAATACTAGGAACAATGCAATTGCTAGAGAAAATTCTGGGAAATATACAAGAGAGACTTATTCAAAGATTGTGAATTTATTAAATTTCAGACAGAGAAGACATTGCCTTTATTTTTTTCCCCTCACACTTCACTCCTGTTCACAAATACATCACTGTATATATATGCAGATCCAATGGGCCTGATGAATACATGTGCTGAAGCTCCTCAACTCCCTCAGCTTTTATTTTGAATCGGATATGTTCAGCACATTGGTGATAAATTCAGACTCAGGCTGAGAGGTATGAGTGGGCCTACAACAGCTCCTCTTGAAGTCTGTGGGAATCTGCCCACAGAGCTAAACGGGCGCTGTTTATGGCCCAGACAATGAAAAAACTACAGTGTTAGTGCTGGCTATCCTCATGCCATCATCCTATCTTGCAGAAATTCATGTGAGGTGCAACGACAAGATGCTGTATTGGGAGCAGTCATTTTCCTCAAAGCCCCACTAATACCTGTTTGAGCAGAGATAGCCGTTGTTGCCACTGTAGGAATCACACTTAAATGTGCGAGAACAACCCCCAAGACAAAGAAGATTGTTCAATTTACAGGACAATTTATAAAGATAATGGCATAGAAACACAATGGTCAAATTTCTCTGACCATTTTGTAATTTGGAACAAAATGCTATATTTTTAATATTTATTTAAATATGTTCTGAGTCCATGTCTAATAAGCAATAAACTGGTCTAGCCAAGACTTTAAAGGCATATGCTGTGTCGTTAGCTGGTGAGCGCCCTCTTTAAGCTGGCTAAGGTACTGATAGAAAGTGGTTTTTTGTTTTTATAATTGCTTGGAAATTTGAACTGGTTTTAATACATTCAGCTCATACTGGGGGGAGGATACCATTATTTCCTAAAAAAAGGACTATTTATTAATGTCTTATGTAATTCTCCAGTTAGAAGTATCTCTCCCTCCCCCCATGTCACTTTCTTTCTCTCTTGCTCTCTTTTTTTCTGGTTTTGTTGCATAGGTAGAATGCTGTATTGCTAGCATTGTATTTTATGTAATTACTTTTTTGCACAAAGGCAAACATTTAGATTAGTTGGTTAATTTTTTTAAATTTTATGACCATGCCAAAATAATATTCTGCAGGCTTGTGGAGAACAAAGGACTGTTCTTTAGGACTGAAACTTGATTTTGCTTGTAGTACAAAAAAACACACACTCACAGATGTTGTTTCGTAAGTGTTATAAGCACTGGATATAAATGGTATTTTTTATCACTTCTGACTAATGTGAAACTGTTGTACGAAAACTACATGAACAAAAGTCATCTGTTTCGACTCGTGTGGGCCTGCCTCACAGTTGCCGGATTTGAGTCATTTTTATGTCTTGTTATTTCATTTATTTATGCAAAATACATGTATGTATGAACACTTTGTTTTAGCTCCAGCCCTGCCTCCATGCTGATGCTCTGTACGTTAAAGCCACATTCTTGAAAATGACTGGCTGTTCAGGAATTGCCAGCTGGTAAAAATTGCATGTATTGGCTGGGAGAGTGGGAGGAACGTATTTGAATCTGAATTGTGCATATGAGCATTTTATTCTATTTATTAGCCGACATTGGCTCTAAAATGTCAGTAGAAATCAAGGAAGGACAATCATAAGGATAAAACCCAACATTTTTACTTTATTAATCGGAGCTCAAAACAAAGTTTTTGATGAATTTACCATCTCATTTTAGATTTTTTTTAAATTGTGTAAATATAACATAGGAAATAGAATTTTATTTTTTGTTCATGGATACTTAGTGAAGTATAAGTTATGTATTTACTTTTGTTCTATATCAGTGTACGTTGGTCCATATTAAATGCTGACAAGTCACTGTACCTCATGTAGATGCTGAATTTACACCCGCAGTGTGAGCGCAGTATTGTGGACTTGTAGCTGGGACAGCAAGATGCCTCACTTGTGCTCTCACTGATTTTTAATAGCATATTCCACAAACACAGAATACTTTCTTCTTTTTTAGAAAGCTGATACATGAAACATACCAAATTTCTGGTACATTTGATAGGAAACACAGTCTTCTGAATCCAAGTAAAACTGATGAGGTATTTTACTTCTTGACAAGAATGGTATTTGGAAGTCAAAAGCATATCCCTGGAAAGATTATCATGACTAAGATGGCCCTTGCAATGCAGTCAAGACTTAATAATATCAAACCTTTATTTTCTACATTCATTAAATCATGTCGTTGTCATATTAAGCTACAATACCAGGGGAAATTGTTCACACAATGCGCAAAGAGGACTTGTGGAATTGCTTTTTAAGCATTGTGTTTGAGCCCCCTTAATAACGCTGATTAAAAAAAAAAACAACTCCATTCAGGTAATGCACAAATACAGTAATACTATTTTCTCTGTGAACAGACAGTTTATTTAATTAACAGATACAATATATTTTCTTTTTGGAAAATTACAAAATACTTGTTTTCAAGAAAAGAACACTCCCAAAACAGTGTGATGCCAGCTAGAACAGTTCACTTCGTATTTCACAAAAATGGAAGATAAAAGTCTTAATGGAAACAGAACTGCTTTCCAGGGTTCAGGTTTACATGGAGAAATGACTCTGACCAAGTGGCCCAATTCTGGTCTGCCCGTACGTTTGGGCATCACCATTTAGCTCGCGAAACCGCCTGCTGAGAATATGCGGGATCACAATCTGCTCCTAAGTCAGCCGTGCTCAGGGGCAGCATGAGGCGGGGGAGGGCAAAAGATGGGGATGCTCTGGGATGGGAATGCAAAACAAACAGCAGCATTAGTCACAATAAATACAACACCCTGTGCAAAGCGTACAGCAGTCAGCGGTGGGCAGTTCTTGCTTTGAGTACAAACACAACCACCTGCCAATGCAATCTAAAACATAGTCCTCTCTCTGGGTTGGCTTTCCGGCTTTAGTTTTTGGTCATATCCAAGGCACGGCATTTCAAAATCATTTTCTAGCAAAACATACTACAAGATTAACACTCCCATCTTCCCCCAGCAAAACACTTATCTACTTGCTTAATATTAAGCATGTTAGTGCTTCATGGTGGTCACGAGGACCAGTAAAGCGTTGGCGTTAAGCGGGGCAAACTTTGCTGAGCCAGGGCCACAGTGTGAACAACTGCACTGGAGATGCAGCCAGCAGAATGTATGATAGAGTTCTTCATGTTTTTGTGAGAAGTTAAGGAATGGGCTTGGACCCTTGGTGTTTTGCATGCTTTTTTAAGATTCAAGTTGGCACTTAAGCATGTTTTTCTAAAAGAATAATACTATATGACCTCATTTGATCTTTTACAAAACACTTACTCTTTTTCTTTTTAAAAAAACTTCCTCCGAG